CCCTCCCCTCCCGCGCTAGCCTAAGGGCCACCTTAGCAAAGCGCATCCCAGGCTGCATAGCCGCACTACCCTACCCAACCATACCACACATAAACATGACACTACCCCCGGGGTTTACACAGACGAGCCGGCGAAGCAAGAAGAGCGCCAGAAGAAAGGGCCCTAGCCGGCGGGGCCCAGCCAGGACAAAAGGAGGTCCCACAAAGCGCCCACACCGGCCGCATTTGCGCTAGGGGTAGACGACGGATGGGGCCCACCTACGAAGGCTGTCCAGGCCTACACGAATTGAGGCAGGATAAAGAGGAATAATCCCCCTCGATCCCAAATCATTGAGGCCAATTTCTAGCCATGGAATAATGGCGCGTGGCGCGCTCTGAACTGACTGGTACCCGTGCATAGGAATTAGATACGGCCAGTCTAGGTGGTCTCTGGTAATGCGAATTCTGTAATGTGTATTTCATTCGGGAACCATTGGCAACCCTGGTTGACTTGACTAAGTTCATGTTTATTTATATTCGAAAAACTATTTTATGAAAAACTGTATCAGTTGTATCACCCAAGATTATATACTTAAGTGTATCACAGTTCACAGAAGATAATTATCTTCTGTGGCTGTATGTTCTTGCCCTTTTAGTACCTATTTCCTCTAATTTGTATTAAGGGATTATTGTGAACATTTGTAGTAGCAAAAAAATTTGTGGTAAGTGGAGGGTATTATTTTGGGTACCGGCCACAAAGTATAAAGTTTATGCTTTGTGCACCTTGGAGTACAAATCATACAAACAAACTAGTACATTATAAATAAAATGGTTTTTGTTTATATTCCAGTCTCCGTTGTTCCTATCTATATACCACATTACTTTGTATGGCATTGCTTTAAAACGTAACTTTAAGTTCTCTCAAAAATGACTGATGAAGGAGAATCTGATGGTGTTACGGATTCCCCAAAAAGAGGTAAGATTGGAACTTATAATTATTCCAAATATTTAAGTTTATACATTTTAGGACCAACTCTATCCACATCAACTTCTAGTTTTGAAGCCCTAGATCCACATGATCCAAATTTAAGTAAATTAGCCAATACGATGTTTAGCAAAACATCAGAGTATTTATATGGAGAACTTACGTCAACTTTAGATGATTACAGATTATTAGAAAATATGAATCAAGCCACTATCACCAAATATTCGGATATGAAGCACTTAGCAGTCAATATCAACAAAAGCCTGAGTGAATTAAATGACAAATGTAAGAATAAATTATGGTATTTAAATTTTTTGACCTTGCTCCATATAGTACTTAATACAGGCTCAGTCAAAATTCACACCCCACTACTCAGAAATGTATTTGACAGTAGAAAAAAAAGATAAAAGTGAAAAATACTAAAATTCCAAAAGCAGGACCATCTTAACAAATTCAAATACAAAAAAGTTACTTAATTACTTAGAATATTAAAAATGAAGAAACTTTTGGTTAGCATGAACAAATCAGACACAAAATTCACTAGTTCCTTAATACTATTTTCCTTAATTTAATCTTAAGGAGGTTTATCTCATATGGAATTGACAAACAAATATTCATAAAAAAATTAATATAAGCGTATTAATATGAGGAAAATCTTCAAAAAAAATTATGATTAGTTTGGAAGACGAGATATTAATAAAATAATTTTTCACGATTTAGTATGGAGCCTTATCAGAATGTAGATTTTTTTGGTCTTTCCACTTAGAATGCACAACAATTGACAAATAGTTTCCACAGCAATTTGTATAAATAGGAAACCGATATTTAAGGAACCGTATGACAGCTCGTAGGAATCGATTAGGTACTTGTAAGATACATAATTTATAATAACTCTCCTTCAAACTGCTGCGTTGACTAACTTAACCTCCATTATGCATGAAGCGTATTATTTGAAATTCGCATATGTGACATATGATGTATATTTCAAGCTTAGGCATCCAAACAAACAGAATGATTGAACATGAGCGAGTGAACGCCGAGCCGAGCGCACCAGACAAGTGCAACGTTGCCAACTCTAAAATCTTTAGTCACTAGAAAATCTACAGAAATTCTCATTCGACTTTAGACGTACCCGATAAACCTTAAGGTAACTTCAGTATTGTCTGTGTTTTGAGGATTTATTAAGAATATTGTTTGCCTTCAATACAAGAACCAAAAGATTCTGTTTTAATACTTAATAACTTTTGTTAAGAATGTGAATTTTTGTCTCGATGTTTCTCCAAAAATGTCTCAATTTTTGCAATGTTAGTATTCTCCAACTTTGTCTTATTTTTAATTATAAGATACATATCCAAGCATTGTACAGAGTGTTCACCAATGATTACAAGCCACATAACCAGTTTGTTCGGAACAGGAATTTTATTTCCTTCGCATTAGCAATTAAATTTTGGCAAAATTAAAAATGATGAAAACAAGATCAAGGTTACTTTAAACACAACATTCTGTTTCACAGACTGGTGTTTGCTATAATTTTTCACGACACTTTATTCAACCTATTATAACCTATGAGATTTAGGAATATTTAGTTAGTAATAATGAAATGTTGCCTAAGCTCGGCAGTCACGTGGCTTGTAATCATTTATGAAGGCTCTGTACCTACTTTTTCTTATAAGTATTTGGTTTAATTTAAAACAAAAAAAGTGAATAAACACTTCTTACTATAAAAATATTAAATTTTAAATTATACTTAATAAAATTTTTGTTTTAGACAACTCTTTAATACCCCTTTTGCAGCAGATTGATCAAATCGAAGATAGTGTAGTGAAATTGGAGCAAGCTGCTTATAAATTAGATGCATATTCCAAAAGATTAGAAGCTAAATTTAAAAATTTGGAAAAACGATAAAAAATATTTATATATTTATAAATAATAATAAATAATGTAAAATATTGTAAAATTATTATTAAATTTAAAAGTGAATGGGTTTAGTTAGCTAGTGACAATATAATGGATCTTCTAGTTTAAAAATTTATTTCAATTTCTTTGAAAAACAAGTGCACAAAGAAATGTTTTGTCATTTTGTTGAAAAATGTTGACAATTAGAGAATTTCCTTATATAATTTTTAAATTGATGACAAGTATTGCAAACCTACATTTTTTATTTGTACTTCAGTGGTGGCTGGCAAAAATTAAAGTGGTAACACTTCGATAATGAAGTGAATGAATGTGTGCGTACATGCATAAATATCATAATCAACTGATATCGATGGAAGCAGGTGTTGATGTTTCATAAAATTTTTATTTTTAAAGTTATAGAGTACATATTATGAAGTTTGAAAAATTGAATGTTAGCATCAAATTAAGATTTAAATAGGTAGGTGTAACTGTGCACAAAATTTAATTGTCGTAAATAAAAAAAATATATTGATAGCATCTATTAGTTAATTATGAAAAAATATTTTGATCATGTGTAATTTTTATTTCAATTTTCAATTTTGCAAATTTTGTTCATAGAAATTGTCTGTGTGGGATTAGAATCATATTCCAAAAATGGTATGGGTCCCCTACCGTATTATCAATATGACTATATTAATTTTTACCAGTTACCACTGTATTACATCCCATACTTACATACCATTTGTTTTTAATTGTTGGCTGTTAATTGTTATACATACTTTTTTATATAAAAATAAATATTTAATTTAAAATTTGATTTTAATAGTCATGTAATATAGGTATCATAATAAATAAACAAAAAATATATGTATATACAGTGTGTTTCACTTAAAGTCGGAACACGTCCGTATTTAGGATGGCATTGGCCAATTTCCAAAATTTTTTTTATGTGGTAGTACCTACTCAAAAAGGGCTACTTTTTGATATTATATTTTTTGACATGTGATCTTTTCTATGGCTTGCTATCATTAAGAAAATATCCTCAAAAATTAAAAAACATATGCATTTTTTTAGGAAAGAAATTGATAGCATTTTCGATTTAATCACACCTCAAAACCCTAATTACAAAGTTTTATTATTATAGTTTTTACAGGGTGTTCACAAAATAGGTGCAAACTTCGAAAAATTTCACCAGTGTCCTGTATTAACAGTGGAAAATATGTTCAAATCATTTTATCATAATTTTGTTAACCGAAGGTATATCCATCCAGTTTCATTGATTTCACTCATACAGGGTGCTCACAATAAGACAGCCAAATTATATATTTTTTTATTGTACCAGAAATGAGTTTCACGACAAAATAATATTTAAATATTAATGTTTTCTATTAGTCCACACTCATTTGATATGCACTGTTCAATTCATCTCTTATTTTTAATAACTCTCAATTGATGTGGTGTTATTTGTCGACATGCTTGTATATTACATAAATCTTCTCTATTCTGGGGCCTAGTTTAGTTATATTTTTCACAGTTCCCCATAAAAAGAAATCAAGAGGTGTTAAGTCTGGAGTTCTTGTTGGCCACTCAACTAATGGACTGTTGCGACCTATGCACCTTCTCGGGAAATTCTCAGTCAGCCAATGACGTACTATTACCGCATTATGAATAAGTGCTCCATATAATTGAAGGTAGAGGTTCTGTTTTACATGAAGAGGAAACTGCATGTACTGAATCCAAGAAATCATTATTTAAAAAATTCAAAAATATCTCTGTGTTTAGATTAACATACAAAAAGGGCACGATTATTCGATCACATAAAACCCCACCAAACATGTAAATTTTTTTAATTAAGATTTATGTAATAGAATTAGACAAGCATGTCGACAAATAACACCACATAAATTGAGGAGAGTTATTAAAAATAAGAGGAGATGAATTATTGAAGAGTGCATATCAAATGATGGTGGACTAATAGATATTTAAATATTATTTCGTTGTGAAACTCATTTCTGGTATAACAAAAAAATATATAATTTGGCTGTCTTAATGTGAGCACCATGTATGTGTGACATCAATGAAACTGCATGGATATACCTTCGGTTAATAAAATTATGAATAAATATTTTCAAAATATTTTCCACTGTTAATACGAGACACTGCAATGAGTGAAATTTTTTGAAACCTTGTTGAGGTTAAATCTTTCTTTAAAAAATGCCTAATATGTTTTTTAATTTTTGAGGATATTAATGATAGTAGGCCGTAGAAAAGATCACATATCAAAAACTATAATATCAAAAAGTAGGCCTTTTTGAGTACTCCCACATAAAAAAAAAAGAATTTTGGAAATCGGCCAACGCCACCCTAAATACGGAGGTGTTCCGAATTTAAGTGAAACACACTGTATATATGCTTATTTGTGCAATAGAACAACTTGCTTTTTTTGTTAATGACCTGTACACCTACAAACCAAATATCCTGTATCTCAACATATTTTTTTCTGTTACTGTTTATTCACTACAATGTAAACTCAAATATTTTTTATTCAGTCTTGCTGTATAAAATAATTTACATACTTGTTTAAATGTAAGCACCTATTAACTTTCTTTTAAAAACTGTTTAGCCAATTCGTTTCCTTCCTTATTATTACTTTTTTTCCCTTCTTCATATCTTTGCTTAATTATATTGATTCTGTGAGCATCTACACAGCCAATGAAATCATCAGTATGTCGTTTACATCTTATCATACATTTTTCATTTTTCTTTAGACATGCCATTAACTGAAAAATTAACATAGGAAATGGGAATATAATTACTATATGAGGTTAACAATAAGATTTTGAAATAATCATCCATTTAAATTATGTCTCAAGTAAATGAAAGGCGATTGACAATTTTTTTTGGAATATCTTTTTTTACATTATTATATCGATGTATTATGAACTTAAATTTTGCCCCGATTTTGGCTAAAAATTTACAAGAAAAATATGCTAAATACTCTCGTTAATATTAATTTGAGCGCTTAAATAAAACTGTTACACATTAGTGTTGCCAATCAAATAAACTCGGAATTGACCACAAAGAAGAACACGACATGAGGTTACTGTGCTTTTTCGAAAATCGGGCGTCGAGGTTCCATTCGGAATTCATTTACTAGTATTTTAAGCTTTCGAATCCGCCTTAGTGTGGCACCATTGTCGATTTTGGATTTCACCGCACTTTCGATTTCTGGCCACTGGGATGAACCATCGCTCTGTGGGTTTCTTTGTCGTGTTTTCCTTCTGTCCAGTTCAGACTTCATCGAATTCGGGGAACTTTGAGTCAGTCCCCGAAATTCTAATCTGGAACGACTCTTCCTCCTTTAGATCGCGTCATCGGTAACACCCGCTGCGCCAACAGTATCGATCTCCGGCGGCGAGGTATGATTTAGGGCTGCTTGCAGAGGTTTTTTGAAGTGACAACAGAAATCTTGAAAAGGCCGCAGCGCGTCGTCTTAGTGTCTCTTACAGTCACTAGATAACATACTAGTGACTGTAGTGTCTGTGGACAGCATCGGCCTCTGGCGGTGTCAACCGCTGTCCCCGGAGCGATTTGTGAACTGAGGTTAAAATTGCAATTCCCCTTAACTGGTGGTAGTTTTCGTCTCGCCTCTAGGCCCTGAATATAGCGATTTTGGACGGCTTCGCGGTCCCAATTGGAAACATGAGTGAATTTTTGAACTGTATTACGACAATATACATTTATCATGGACGCTGTGATCGTGAAATTTATAACTGAAAGTTCTCGTGAAAAGCTTTACTTTTATTTTGAGGGAGATAGTTAAAAAAGTTTTTCTTTTTATTTAATGAACTCGATAGGAGCTTAATGCGTGCGAAATAAACGTTATGTTATACAAAAAGCAACTTGGATTGATTTCTCTACTTGTTGTTAAATCAAACGGGTGGCGACACCGAAGATAAATACAGGGTGTTAAAAAAAGAGTGTAAAATATTTAAGGAGGTAATAGTATGAACCAAAATAAGCAGAAAAGTCCCAATAAACATGGGTCCGCAAAGTAACGGTTGCGGAGATATGGAATGTTTTATGTTTTTTAGCCCCTTTTTTTATTTTGCAAAAACGTTGTGTATTTTCTTATAATAGTTGGTTGATGTTTAGTGAAATAAACAGTACGTATTTGACAGTTGTTCTCAGTGCACAAGTTTTCTTTCGCTATGGCTGGTTACTCTAACGCAGAATTAACAGACATGCATTTCATGTATGGTCGTGCTAATGGGAACGCCACCGAAGCGCGACGTCTTTATGTTGACGCTTATCCAAATCGCCAGATTCCTTCACAACGCATGTTTGGAAGAATTCACCAAAGATTGCGTGATACCGGTTCCTTGAGCAAACAGTGCCATTTATCCGGAAGACCAAGGTCGGTATCCACTCCTAGAGCAGAAGAAGAAATTCTAGCACTGGTAGAGCAGAATCCAGGTACGAGTGTGCGGAGAATATCAGCCGAGGTAGGAATTAGTGGTCCTCTTGTTTGGAGAATCCTTCACGAGCAACTGCTTTATCCATACCATGTGCAACGAGTACAGGCCTTAAATCCAATAAATGATCATCAAGCACGTTTGGTTTTTTGCCGCTGGTTTCTACGTCATGATGCTGAAGACCCTCGTTTTCTTGCAAACATTCTTTTTACTGATGAGGCCGGGTTCACAAGAAATGGAGTGTTTAATTTTCACAATACGCATATTTGGGCCGACGAAAATCCTCATGCTCTAATAGAATCTGGACATCAGGCACGTTTTTCATTAAACATTTGGATGGGTATTGTAGGTGACAGGTTTCTAGGTCCTGTTGTTTTACCAAACCGATTAACAGGCGCTGCTTACCTCAACTTTCTGCAGAACACACTGTATGAGTTTTTGGAAGACATTCCTTTGAATCAGAGGCAACAAATGTGGTTCCAGCATGATGGTGCTCCAGCTCATTTTTCCATGGCCGTTAGAGAGCATTTACACCAAACTTTTCCACATAGATGGGTAGGAAGGGCCGGACCTGTTTTATGGCCTCCAAGATCGCCTGATCTGAACCCTCTAGATTTCTTTGTTTGGGGATATTTGAAGACATTAGTGTATGGTACTCCTGTAAATAGCCTGGAAGAGCTGCAGCTACGGATTAATCAAAAGTGTCAAGAAATCCAAACCAAGGAG